AGTTTACAAGTGGTAGTGAAATTTAGTGCTTTCAAACAAAAAAGTTAATTAAAATTTATGTAAACATTAAAATATATTAGCATTGATTATATTAGAAAGTAGTACATCGGAATTCGTGTACGTACGTACGTACTGTATGTATGTATCAGATTGAATGCATTCCTGATTTGTAAGACAATGTTTTATCAGAGTAGCAAACACGGCTCGGCTTAAGGTTAGCCGGTCTATAAACGGATTGGCATTAGTTTATAGATCCGAAAGACCGGTAAACCGGGCCGAAGCAGCTATTAATAGTTGGCAAAGATAAATATTAATTACGTAATTGGGAATTCGGAATTAATAAGTTGATTATATTTGCCCTCTCCTGCCTTCACAGATGCATACGTACGCTTCCTACGTAACCATACGTACAAATCATTAATTGGGTGTTACGTTAATAAAAGGTTAATAAACAGTGCGGAGTTTATTAACCCGAGAAGAAGTACCGGACTATGTGATATTACTGTTACAAAATAAATGATGTAAGAATGAGAGAAAATAAAATGGATAAATTAATGGAAAAAAAAACTATATATATATATATGATATGTTTCAGATCATGGCTAAAGTTTATCAAAAAAACAAGATCGAGGTTTTCTCTTAACTGCACTCATATATTTCAATTACAACATTTTCAATTATAACATTTTCAACATGGTTCTTATCGAAATTCCAAAAGAATACGGATACGTAAGTTTCTTATGAGAACAAGTGATAAAATCATTTTTCATATGAAATTTGTATCCATTTTATTTTTTTTATCTTATGATTAGGTTATTTTCACTGGTGTCGCTTCGATATTCTTTACAACATATCTCAGTTGTAAGTGGATTTTTTTTTATTTAATTTTTTCTTATCTATATTATCTAATAAGGGTTTCTTCACGAATCTAGTTCAAGTGGGAGGATATCGTAAAAAAGCGGGTGTCCCATATCCTAACTGTAAGTTTGAAATTCTGATTATTGTTATTTTGAAAAAAAAAAACTACACGTGACGAACTCAATGTTTCTTTAAAATAAAGTGTACGCAAGCAAAGAAGAGGCGGAAAAGGATCGAAGCAAATTAATTTTCAATTGCTACCAAAGGGCTCATCAAGTTAGTTAATATTTAGCACGTATATTTTATTCAATCACCATATCATGTAGTTAACTATTTTTAATTATAATTTTTTTTTTTAGAGCACTCTTGAACTTTACCCTCAATTCCTTTTAACGTATGTTTCTCATGAAAACCTTGTCACATGATAATACAAATCTTTTAATTTTTAATTTATTTATTATAGTCTTATGGTTGGTGGTCTAAAACATCCTGTCCTATCTGCTGTGGGTGGTGGCATTTGGATATTGGGTAAGTTTTTACCACCAAAGTATGACATTCATTTTAAATATAGTACAATACATCTTGATCACGTGCAAAACAAACAACATTCATAGGTCGATTGGTTTTCGCCCGGGGCTATCAAACCGGTGATCCTGCGAAAAGAACTCGAGGAGCCTTTAGTTACATTGGTGTTCTCACATTATTGGGTACTAGCATTTCTACTGCCATTAGTTTGTTAGCACAATAAATTTTTGAAAATTAATTTGAGAGTAAATTTGGGACTTCTTAAAACTACTTGAAATGACAAAAAAGACTGTTTTTGAATAAAATGTATTGCAACTAATAAATTCCAATAATTATTGAATAATATCAAGAATTGCTAATAAACATTTAATTTTACAACTAATAAACCAGTGTTTAATGATGATTCATCTATGAGTTAATTGCCCATTATTCACGAATATCAACAATAACACCTAAACATTAAAAATATTAAAAAATATTATAAATTTGTTATCAATAAAGAAATATCTTGAGAAAATGAGAAATGAAAATATATATATATATTACCAGTTCCAACTGTTTTACCACCTTCTCGAATAGTAAATCTCATACCAGGTTCAACAGCCATATCATGCACAAGTTCACATTCAAGTGTAATGTTATCACCTGGCATAACAAATTTTTCATCCGGATTTTCGGTACCAGGTGGATACGTCAATGTAACAGTTACATCAGATGTTCGAAAATACATCTGTGGTCTATAATTCTGCATGAATGGTGTATGTCTTCCACCTTCATCTTTTGTAAGAACGTAAACTTGTGCTGAGAATTTCCTATAAGATTTAACAGTTCCAGGTGCGGCAAGAACTTGTCCTCGTCGAATTTGTTCTCGTTTAATACCACGTAATAAAGCACCCATATTGTCACCTGCCATTCCTTTATCAAGTTCTTTGTGGAACATTTCTATACCGGTCAATGTGGTTTTTACTGTTTGTCCCATACCAACTATTTCAATTTCAGAACCTTTTGAGACGGTACCCCTTTCCACTCTACCAGTAGCAACTGTACCTCGACCAGAAATAGAAAAAACGTCTAATAATTTTCAAAATTTAAATTAAATTATTTAATCATTTACTTAAACATCACAAGAGAATAATGATAATAATGATTACCTTCAATAGACATCAAGAACGGTTTATCTAAATCTCTTATAGGAGTAGGAATATGTTTATCAACAGCATCCATTAATTTTTCTATAGCTTTTTCACCAATTTCAGGATCACGACCTTCAAGAGCAGCAAGAGCAGAACCCATTATTATAGGAGTTTCTTCACCATTAAAACCATATTGAGTTAATAAATCTCTCATTTCCATTTCAACTAATTCTAACATTTCTTTATCGTCAACTGCATCAATTTTATTGACAAATACTACAAGATTAGATACACCAACTTGTCTAGCGAGAAGTAAATGTTCACGTGTTTGAGGCATTTGACCATCTGTAGCTGACACAACGATGATTGCACCATCCATCTAAATGAAATGATAAAATTATGAAAAAAATAGGAAATTAGTTTAATGGTTATAATTTATGAATAATTTATGCTCCAAGGTTTACCTGAGCAGCACCGGTAATCATGTTTTTAATATAATCAGCGTGACCAGGACAATCGATATGAGCGTAATGTCTTGAATCAGTTTCATATTCTACATGAGCTGTAGCGATAGTAATACCACGAGCTTTTTCTTCAGGTGCTTTATCAATTTCACCATAATCTTTAAATTTTGCTTTTCCTTTTGATGCCAAACATTTAGTGATTGCGGCAGTTAATGTTGTTTTTCCATGATCAACGTGACCAATTGTACCGATATTTACATGGGGTTTAACTCGTTGAAATTTTGTCGCCTCGGTAGCATAAGTTCGAGTATAGTTGTTAAACGAAATTATTTTACGTAATGACGACACCCCTGGAGAATGATGAAATCCTGACGGAATCTCTGATGAAAAATGAAACCTCTGACGAAAGATGAATGATGTTAGGATTGCAATTTAATCTGAGATATAACAATCAGATAAAATTTGTTTTTCTCTTTACAAAACAATATCAGAATTTCTGTAAGTGCTGCTCATTTTTTTTTTTCCAATCGCTAATATGCACTCAAGATAATATTCATTAACAGCTAAAAATACTAAAAATACTACATACCGGGTTAAAACTATTTGAGACAGGTTTCGTTACACCCAGAACTTTAATAATAGTAAAAATGTATATATTTTAATGTTTACATAAATTTTAATTAACTTTTTTGTTTGAAAGCACTAAATTTCACTACCACTTGTAAACT